TGTAGGGCTGGGATTCGAACCTGCACGGTTGGCTCCTACCATTGTGCCCTACACAGCCACGCTTTGGTGAGGTGCGTCATGGAATTCCTCAGTTCAGACACCTGTGATCCATTGTCTATGGGGTGGTGAACAAAGTCTTCTTAAAACTACTGAAATCTCCTTAAGACTCAAATCATGTTAACCTGCTACTCAGTGCCCTTCAGTGGATTCCAGTGGATGCTCTAGACAATATCCAAATAGCAGGCGCAGCCCCCAGCTCTCTGCCTGTGCTGGCCCCACCTGGTCATTTCCAGCCCTGCACACTCTGGCCGCTCCCGCCTCCCTCCAACTCTTCTGACACATTCAGCCTTTTTCATCTCAGGGCCTTTTTATACCTGCTGTTTATTCTGCCTGGACTCAACACCTTCTCCACCCCTCAGACAGACAGGCAGACAGACAGACAGACAGACACACACACACACACACACACACACGCACATATCCCTTGCTTCTGGGTAACTTCTACTCATCCTTAAAGTCTTGATTTAAGATTTTATTTCTTTAGAGAGGTTTTTGTTGACCATTGGTCTGAATGGGTCCCCCTGTTAGATGCTCCCCTTGCCATCTCTGTCATAGACCTATCGAAATCGATAATTTCATGAGTCTGTGTGATTAGGTGCCTTGTCTCTGTCCTCCCCAAGGACAGGGTGGGCTCTGTGTGTGCGCGTTCATGTCTGCACCATCGCCACTGCATCCTGAGTGACAGGCACGTCGTGGGAAATAGTGGGGACATCTTTGGGGAACAGGGGGAAGTCAAGGGGAAAGGGAAAGAAAAAGTTGGAAAGAAGGGAATTGAAATTGGGAGAACATCGGAAGGAAGGAAGAAACCTGGAAATTGCCGTTCATCATAGTATCATTCTCCACTTGGACAAGCAAGAAACTCGGCCCTGACAACTGGCTTGTTTCTTTAATGCTTCTTCCTTTCTCTCTTTCTTCCTCCCTCCCTCCCTCCCTCCCTTCTTTCTTTCTTTCTTTCTTTCTTTCTTTCTTTCTTTCTTTCTTTCTTTCTTTCTTTCTTTCTTTCTTTCTTTTCTTTCTTTCTCTTTCTTTTCTCCTATACCTTTCCTCCTCTTTCTCTCTTCATTTTTTAATTTCCATAAAACAAAAGTAAATGATCAAAGGAAATCAGCATTTAAAAACTTAAATCTGCTGGGCGCGGTGGCTCACGCCTGTAATCCTAGCACTCTGGGAGGCCGAGGCGAGAGGATCACTCAAGGGCAGGAGTTCAAAACCAGCCAGAGCAAGAGGGAGACCCTGTCTCTACTAAAAATAGAAAGAAATTAATTGGCCAACTACAAATATATAGAAAAAATTAGCCGGGCATGGTGGCGCATGCCTGTAGTCCCAGCTACTTGGAAGGCTGAGGCAGTAGGCTTGCTTGAGCCCAGGAGTTTGAGGTTGCTGTGAGCTAGGCTGACGCCATGGCACTCTAGCCAGGGCAACAGAATGAGACTCTGTCTCAAAAATAAATAAATAAATAAATAAATAAATAAATAAATAAATAAATAAATAAAAGATAAAAAAATAAAAACTGAAATTATTCTTAAATTTTAAGGTAAAATGCGTGCTGGGCCAGCAAGATATTTCTACCCTTGTTTGACAGAGAGCCACGGGTCTCCTCCTCCAACTTTCTCCTTCCCTCCTCGGGGCTGTACCCATCACTGTTATGTGGAGAGGTCTTGACAGTCTCTTCTGCCTTTTAGTGCAATTATACCAACCAAGCTAACATACTGGAGCTGGGTATATCACTTTTAGAAAATAAGCTAGACAAATTTTTCACTTATAGGATTTTTCACTTATAGGATGAAGTGGCTATCAGGAAATTATATATACCATGGGGTTAAGAGATTTACTGCTCAAACACTTTCCTTTAAGTGAATTAGGAGAGAACTAGTGAGAAAAATATGATGTAGAAAAATATTATACAAGCAACCAGAAAACCATTAAAGGTGGAGAATCATTAAAACATAGAACAATCTGGGGAAGCAATAAAATTTCTAGAACTTGAAGGCATTTAAAATAGACACAATAAATTCATTCCAGAACATGTCAAGCTACTTAGGAAATGTGATTGTACTAAGTAAATTGTCTTACACTTTATTTTGTAGAACAGGGCATGAGTCGTTATAACTAAGGTGGGATTGACTGACAAAACTCTAGCCATGCCCCTGAGGCTATATATTCCAGTTTCCCCAGATTAGAAAGCACAAAGCATTGTACCATAAGTATGGAAAACTAGTAAATGCCTTATTTTTTCTTTGACCAGCTTTCAAATTCATTTGACTCATAGGACCCATCAATTACTCACCTACTGTAGCAATGAGACTGATGATGATGGAAGGGAAGGAGGGATAGAGGGAAGGGAACAGTGCCTTGAGATTACACGTTTGTTCTTTGGTACCTCCAGTCCACAAACACTTTGGGGAAGTTTCCCCTTGGAACTGCCTTTTCCATAGTAGTTCCATCTGGCAGCAGGTGCACAGGTTAATTTAGGCCTGTGTATCACATACTGAAATAAAAGTTTGGGCTAGAGGAACTTCAGAAGTTATCAAGTGTTTATTTTATGGATAAGGACACCATGACTTGGATAATTTAAGACACCTGGCAAAGTCACAAAAGTGAGAAAAAAGATCCACTTCAACATTGAATTATTCAAAGTATATCATTCTTTTTTTATTGAATTCCTTCATTGATTCATTCCACAAATATTTCCTGGGTGCCTAGTAAGTGCAGGGCACTGCTGGGGAGACAGCAATGAGCAAACCAGACAAAATTGCCTACCTTTGTGGAGTTCGTGTTCCAGGGATTCAGTATAATTTAAATTTCTAATTCTCTTCTCCATTCAGAGGTTGCTATTTTAACAATTCTCAGGAACCACTTAATCAAAACCAAAGGTATTGAGCAAATGCTATGCTGACATAATTTGGTGAGTGATTATAAAGAGAATTGATTACAAAGACAAATGGAAGCAGTATATGTTCAATTTTTTAAAAGAGAGAGAAAGAAAAATTAAACCTCATGAAAAAATAATGAACCAATATAACATCCAGATTCACCAGCCACATCTTCTGGAACAGAGAGCAGGACTGTTAGAAGTAAGACAAAAGACAAACTAAAAACATTTTTTCAAGGCTCTACAAATGGGATAAGAAAACATTAAACTTTTTGGCAAGCATCCTAGCAACTTGCAGAACGAAACCACTCTCTGCCTGCAAGTGTTTAGCCCACAGCTGTTGGAAATGAAGAATGTCAAAATACACAAATGTAAGAGCCCAGGCACACACATCAAAGAAGCAAAGCTCCAGGGGAATCCCAAGGGTCAAAGTTGCACCAGGATGGATTGCTGGAGCATAGGCAAAGAGTCAGGAAATGGAGATCGGACCGTGCAGAAGACCTGGCCACAGCCCCAACTCTGGGCCATGTTTATCAGCCTCCTGTACCATCATGGAAAATTACCTCCAACATTCAAAAACACATTTTAGTAGGACACAAAGCCTACTGTAGTTGCTTCATTCTGCACATGGTGCCTCATTTACTCAATAATGACATCATGGAAACAGGGCTGTCTTTTTCCTTTTTTTTTTTTTTTTTCTAAATAAGAAACCAAATTTCGGGCCGGGCGTGGTGGCTCACGCCTGTAATCCTAGCACTTTGGGAGGCCGAGGCGGGCGGATTGCTCAAGATCAGGAGTTCGAAACCAGCCTGAGCGAGACCCTGTCTCTACCAAAAATAGAAATAAATTAATTGACCAACTAAAAATATATATACAAAAAATTATATATATACAAAATATATACAAAAAATTAGCCGGGCATGGTGGCACATGCCTGTAGCCCCAGCTACTCGGGAGGCTGAGGCAGTAGGATCGCTGAGCCCCGGAGATTGAGGTTACTGTGAGCCAGGCTGACGCCACGGCACTCACTCTAGCCTGGGCAACAAAGTGAGACTCTGTCTCAAAAAAAAAGAAAGAAAAAGAAAAAGAAACCAAATTTCATGTTTACTGCACCAGTAGAAATAGTTATTTCTTTAAAGCCTATAATTAATCTTGCTTTATAAAGAAAAAAATATATTGTGTACTTTGAGAAGCCAATGCTCTGAAAGTTCATAAATCCCTGTATTTCTTTGACTTAAGTAGAAGCACTACATTGTAGCCACAAGGGAGTGTCGAATTCATGAATGGGGCGGTCCCTGTTGTAGCCTTGTCAACAATGGCTGTGAAGATGATGTCAAACCTTGGAAGAGTTATTTTGGAAGTGATATTTTCTTTTTTTTTTTCCTTTTTCAATGTTTATGGTATTTGACCTTGTTAGTTTTATAATTTCAATAAATGTTTACAAAAAATAGCATAGAGTGAACCTCTGCTATAACCAGAGGCATGTCCCAGAATTTGGTCCTTTCATATAAAATGACAAAGGAAGGTGACAGAGCCAAAGCCAAAGGGAGCATGGAGAGATGATCCAGGGGCCAACAAAGTCACAGAACACGTGAAATGTAAGAGTGACCGTTCTTCTCTTACATAGCCAATTTATTCGAATAATTCAAGAGACTTTTGTAAGCATCAGGAAATGGGTCCCTAAAATGTCATGTGCTATTTAGGTAAGAAGAAAAGAAAGAGGGAGAGATCAGCAGAGCCGCATTGTAAATTGCTCTGGATGAGAACCCAAAGAGAACACAGGACAAACCATAGTCCTGAGGCATAAGAGCTGCAGACTGCAAGAGACTGGATTAGTACGAGTAAATACAGCATCCCTGCTTCCATCTCGTGCCTGCCCCCAGGGCCGCTGGCAGGATTAGCATGACATGGTACATTTCCGGAGGACAGCTCGACTGCGTATATGAAAACATATATATCCTTTGACCCCACAATTCCTCCTTTTTTTTTAAGTCTTTATCTTAAAAAGGTAACCAGAGAAGTACACAAAAGGCATTTGGACAAAGACTCTCACTTCAGCATTCTCACTAACAAGGAAAAAATGCCCCCCTCCCAATGGCCCATAAAAGGAGATTAATTGGATAATTAAAGAATGTCTTTATAATGGACTATCATGCTGCCATTAAAAAAGAACAGGCAGATATAAAGTCAGTGATATAGGGGAGAAAACTTCATGACGTATTATTGAGTAAAACAAGGAGTTTACAAAATGGCGCAGATGGCCTGGTGCTATTTGGGTTCAACAGGATGCATAAACGCACAGAGAAACATCTGGAAGAGCAGGCTCCTGTCTATCATCAGTGGGTGTCTCCAGGTGGAGAATGCAGGATGACTTTCACTTTGTTCATTATTCTGTCCTGTGTTGCTTGAACGTTCTACGAGGAGGTGCGGACTTCAACGTCTGGTACCAGAAAGAGGCCTTTGCACGGAGCTGACGGAGCCTCTTGAGAAGTCCTGGGAAACGCCGAGATGGGCCGGAGGGTGGGCAGAAAGGCTGAGCTGATGTGGAAGGAAAGAGGGAGCCAAAGCAGTTTTACAGCAGGAGAAAGGACTGTGACGAAGCAGAATTTCCGGGTGATTAGGCTGAGTTCTCTGTGAGGCTGCACACACGGGACTGCGTGTCCCCATTATTATTCATAGAATTCCTGCCGTCCTGCAACTCAGGGGACCACTGAGACAGCCTGGCTGACTGGAGGCTTCTTGGTTAGCCTGGGGCCTGTTCAGGGAAGGTAAGTACCAAGTTAACGTTCTGGAGAAGTGCCACAGCCCTGGGGGCGGGGGAGAAATTGTTCCCCAGCACATACCAAATCACCAGGGGCCACAGGTCGGCTGCAAACCATCTTAATTGGCAGTTGCATTCAGCACAGTGAGATAGAGCAAATGTTTCTTTCCTTAAAAAAAAGGGTGAAAAGGGGTAAAAAAGATGAATATTGTAACAGGAATCCAACAGTATAGAGTGGCTCTAGAATATCCCTATAATAGTTATATTTACCTTTGAAATCCTCAAAAACCAAAGATGTGAGTAATTACCAGAAAGTATAATTGTTCCAAAGCCACAAAATTTTCCAGAGGGTGTATGTGTGGGGGGCAGAGGGATGAGAAGCATTTTGGGCATGTTCCAGCTTGCCTGATTAAATATTCTTTAATAGAGTAGGTAAAGCTAGCAACAGGAATCAATAATATTCACTTTTGGAATCTACCATTTGATCCAGCAATTCCATTGCTGGGCATCTACCCAAAAGATCCAATGACACTCTACAAAAAAAGACACCTGTACTCGAATGTTTATAGCAGCACAATTCATAATTGCAAGGCTGTGGAAACAGCCCAAGTGCCCATCAATCCAAGAATGGATTAATAAAATGTGGTATATGTATACCATGGAGTACTATTCAGCTCTAAGAAACAATGGTGACATAGCACATCTTATATTTTCCTGGTTAGAGCTGGAACCCATACTACTAAGTGAAGTTTCCCAAGAATGGAAAAACAAGCACCACATATACTCACCAGCAAGTTGGTACTAACTAAACAGCACCTAAGTGGTCACATAGGTACTACAGTAATAGGGTATTGGGCAGGTGGGAGGGGGAGGGGGGCGGGTATATACATATATAATGAGTGAGATGTGCACCATCTGGGGGATGGTCATGCTGGAGACTCAGACTTGTGGGGGTGGGGAAATGGGCATTTATTGAAACCTTAAAATCTGTACCCCCATAATATGCCGAAATAAAAAATAAATAAAATTAAAAAAAATTAAAAACATGAAAAAAAAATTCACTTTTTAAAGAATTTTCAGGCCGAGCGCGGTGGCTCACGCCTCTAATCCTAGCACTTGGGAGGCCGAGGCAGGAGGATCGCTTGATGTCAGGAGTTCGAAACCAGCCTGAGCAAGAGCAAGACCCCATCTCTACTATGAATAGAAAGAAAATTAATTGGCCAACTAATATATATAGAAAAAATTAGCCGGGCATGGTGGCGCATGCCTGTAGTCCCAGCTATTCTGGAGGCTGAGGCAGCAGGATCGCTTGAGCCCAGGAGTTTGAGGTTGCTGTGAGCTAGGCTGACTCCATGGCACTCACTCTAGCCTGGGCAACAAAGCCAGACTCTGTCTCAAAAAAAAAAAAAAAAAGAAAAAGAATTTTCATAGTGTTGTTTCAGCACAGAAGTATTGTTCAATAACTTCAGTGACATATTTCCCCATTACCTAAATTCAAAAGAGGTATTATAAAAATATAGCCAAAATACGTATTACAAAGAAAATATCTTCCTTTTAATACCCACAAAAGTCCCAATTCAAAGCCTCAGCCCTAGGAAAATGGCATCCTAGTATTCAGAGGGCTTTCCGACTTGGTAATTTTCATGGTGGCCACTGAACACTTGCCATTAGATTTACGCACCGTACCAAATTAAAAATTAAACTGCCAAAAGAAACAAACAGTAAAACCACTATGCAAAAGCAAGCTGCAACAAAGAATCCTCAAACTTTCGAGGCTGTTTCAATATTTTAAGAATGTCTCAAAGTGGAAACAACCATCTCTGCTCAAACTTAGTGAGAAAATGTTTGATGTTACAACACAGAATTTCTATCATGCACTTTGAGTTAACACAGAGATGCAACTTAACACAATAAGCATGGCTGCTTCCTTTGGGATTTTTAAATCGTAAGTAATGTAGCATGCTGGCGCTTTGCTTGGTTTGAATGAATAGCAATGGATATGTTGGATAGTATTAAGATCAAGTTATTCTATGATCACTTGCTGCTACAATTTTCCCATTTAGCAGAATCCATACATTGGTAATGTGTAAAATAAGAGCTTTCTGTGACCAAAAAAAAAAAAAAAAAAAAAGGTATTTGTGTAATCTTCAAAGTGTTTAATTTGTATTAAAGCTAAATCCAGAGGCTCTGAAACCTTAGGGGCTCTTGATGTGGATTTTTGTTCTGGTTCACACACCTTGAGACAAAGGCTCATAGTCAAGATGTGGAGGAAAAAGACGTTTTTTGTGTGTGTGAGATGCGGGCCAAATTTATTCCTCGGGCGGCCTGGAATGGGCTTCAGAAAATGGACAGAGTGTCTTCTTGAAGAAAGGGCCTCCTAAGTAAACTCCACTGCCATTCAAAAGATTTGCTCTGACACTTAACAAGTGGTGCAGGAAGAAAGGAAAATCTGTTGTCAGGTTTGGGGTGTTTATCAGCTCCCCTCGAGACACTTGACCTAATGCTGCGGTCCCCCTAATCCGCTGATCTGCATGCGGTGGTCTCCCAAGCCTCAGCCCACAACTGCGGGCAAAATTGCCTGGAACACTTATCCCAACGCATTGATCCCTCAGTACATTGTGGCCGGTCACCTACTCCCCCGCCTCCCCTCCCGCCCCCCTCTCGCGACTCCCCCGAAATTTAATTCTGCTCACAAATTGTGAAATAAGTTGTTTGGGCTGGATTTGTCGAGTGAATTGTCCCACTAATGAAACAGTCTGTTCATTATACAGTTGTAGGACGGAAGATTTAGCGCTCCCATACCCCGGGACCCAGGCAGGTTAACGTTTTTAGACTGACAGTTGACAAAAGAATGAATAGCTCGCTCCTGTCAAATCAGGCTTACAAACAGCTTGGCATACAAACAGTTACTGCTTGTATGCGGGCGGATTTAGGGTCCCCGTCTGCTAATGCCCCAGATTTGTAAGTACAAATTGGTTAGTCTTCAAACTGTTTGCGAAAGGAATAAAACGACCAAAAATTAGTTTGTTTTAGCCTTTTCCCCTCCCCTCCCTGCTCATACAAGTGAAACATTAAAAAAAAAGAAGAAGAAAGAAAAGGATAAAATAGTGTGTAATGGTCTCATGGAATATTGTTGGGTTTTTACTCAAGGCATCAAATTAAGCGGGCCCATTGTTTGGCAGGAAACATTTTGTTCTGCTCGGGCACCCCGCTTCTCGAAAAGCAGCTGAAAATCTAATGGAATTAATTTAAGATGTGTGATTTTAAAAGCTAGGGAGCCGAGGGGGAAGGAGAGAGATCAAAAACGTTCATTTCTATTCATTTTAGTACCTGTTGCTTAAAACTGGTTACAATAACTCCCCTCCTTTTAACTGCATTGGACGTTTAAAATGAGTTGTTGAGATTTCTGAAACTTTTTTTGTAGGCAATTATGTTTAAATTAGATAAAAACTATCTTACTTTTCTTTGTCAGTTTGAATTGTTTTGTGAATAAACTAATGCAAAATCACTGAAAGAGAATGCTCTATACAACAGAAGGTGAATATTTTTACCATGTGATTTCTCAGTGTGGTGATAATTTTTTGTCTGGATTAGGTTAAATAACTCTTTGCTTATTATAACTGCAGCAGAATAATACACAAGAGTTATAGCATATGTTTCTATCACTTTATAGGGAAAATAAACAAAAAAAGGTAAAAAACTAAGAATGTTTTCAGCTTCAAGCTTGGTCTAATATGTTTGAATTAAGAACGTTGTCAGATACAACGTCAGGATGGCCAAACTCCTTGTAATACGAGGAGTTACTGTTTCTTATTTCAGTAAGTTCATTATCACATCTTTCCATGTACTCTAAAGACAGTTTTTAAAAATCAGACCTTTTGGAAACTTCGCAAGCTGCAGTCATGAGTTCATTCAAACATTCCTAAGAAGATTTTTCCCTTATCAGTGTCTAAGTCTTGTACTGGTATTCTACAGCATTAAGAGCTCCAAACAGTAAGTATAAATTTAATGTGTAAGTGTGCAAAGTCAATGTCAGTCGGCTATCGGAAATCTGGAAAAAACAAAAGCAATAGACTGCTAGAGAGAAAAAGTGGGAGAGCCTTCGTCTCAGATATGGTTGAATCATTTTTTATGAAGTCGTCCAAGCCTATAGAATGCACTGCAGCTGTGAGCCCTTATGGCAAAATTGGTCATTTACAAGTGGAGTTGAGAGTGGGCGAGAAAGTTACAAATAATAACCCAATAGCAAATGCAACAAGGTGGCTGCACACAGACAGACCCAAGTGGTCTCGCTCCATTTTCCATCTCTCCCTGCCACTCCCAGAACTTTGCCAACATTTCCCCATAACATTCATTCTTATCCTGTAAAAACTAAGATTTTTTTTTCCTACTTCCTCACATGTTGGGCATTTCAAAGACAGAGGCCATTCCTTATCAAGAGCTCTGGATTAAGAAAATGCATATGTTTAATGAAGTATTTTTAGAGGAATATGTTTAGAGAGATGGCATTTCCCTGTAGATTTTATAATGCAATGAATCCTTTACAATGGAAAGCCATCAGAAACTGCAGGGTTTTTGGTAATCAGGTCACCTGTTTGGGGCAGGCTTCTCCTTGCAATCCACTAAGATTACAAAGAACACAGAGCGGGGCAAGACTATAGCTGACCAGAGTTCCATGCAAAGGTTAAAGAGAAATGAATAAATGCTTAGGGCTGCTTATTGTCTTGCTCCCGATGAGAAACAGAAGCTGCCGATGGGCAGCATTGTTTAATAGCAAGCTGTAGGCTAAAATACAAAGGCTTCCTGCTCTAAAAAGGAGCCGCAGCTAAGCAAGCAAGCTGCAGCATTAGCAGGAAGCGATGGGCACGCCGTGTGGGTCTCTGTGGAAGTATGGTTGACCTTCCGTGGTGGGAAAGCCTCAGCCTTCCCGTAACCTTGGGTCTCTCAAGCTCTCTGAGCTTCCTGGCCCTGTGTGTAAAGTGGAACAATAGTATCTCTTACTGTTGTGATGAATAATTTACATGTAGTACGGTATCTTGTCTGTTTGTCTAGCAATCCAATATATATAAATATTTTTTTATAAAAAATTATATGTATATACTTGTGAGATTTTTGAGCAATCTCAACTGGCTGAAGCAGAAAAATACTAGTGTTTTATGAGGCATCCAAAAGGCCAAATGGGGCCGCCACGGTGGCTCATGCCTGTAATCCTAGCACTCTGGGAGGCCGAGGCAGGAGGCTCACTCAACTTCAGGAGTTCAAGACCAGCCTGAACAAGAGCGAGACCCTGTCTCTCCTACACATAGAAAGAAATTAATTGGCCAACTAAAAATATATATAGAGAGAAAAAATTAGCTGGGCATGGTGGTGCATACCTATATCCCAGCTACTTGGGAGGCTGAGACAGAAGGATTGCTTGAGCCCAGGAGTCTGAGGTTGCTGTGAGCTAGGCTGATGCCACGGCACCCTAGCCTGAGCAACAAAGTGAGACTCTGTCTCAAAAAAAATTAAAAATTAAAAAAAAAGAAATTAAAAAACAAAAGAAGACCCAGTGGAAAACAGAGGCTGGTGGTTGTAGCTTAATAAGTGGCCAACTGGTAAACCTCACGCAGGTGCTGTATCTCCAGGTGAGACTTGGTTCACCCAATGTCAGGTCTGGTGCCTACCTCCCTCATTTCACAGATGAGGAAACTGAGGTTCAAATTCACGTGAGATTAAACCTCAGGCCTCCTGATCTCCAGTCTCATGATGTTCTTTCTCATCAGCACATTCCTTCTAAAGGAGATGCTGGGATGCTCTAACCCGGTTTCTCTTTGTTCTATGTTACTCTTATTTCGTTTGTATAAAATGGGACACTTGGATGAGTGTGGTGAGTTTTCTGGATTGGCATCATTTAGGTACTTTTTGCCTTTTAGGCACACTGATGGATCTGTAAGGAGCCATTTTTAGACATTAGTTATTGAGTCTACTTTTTTCCCAGTTAAACGCTGAGGTGGTCATTATTGTTGTTTTGCTCTTTGTGAAGTCAAATAAGCAAAACAAAACAAAAACAGCCTATTTGTTATGTTAAATCTTTTTGGAAAAAAAAATCAAAAATACATTTTTCAGTAAAAAAATCAATTGATTTGAGAAAACGACCTAAACCTCAGCCCAAGGGTGAAATGAATAAATAGTGAGCAAGAATACCAATTAAAATAGGCTGTAGGAGAAATGCACTTGCCTCACCTTACAGGTTTTCTGAGATTCCCTAAGGTCCCCCGGGAACCTCTAAAAGGTATTTGTTTTGTCCTTTGCCGTCTCCCTTCTGGGAAGACTGCCAGCGTGGTGGCTTCTTCCCAAGACCCATTCAACCTGAAGCTGCAGAGAGGCCGAGACGGCAACTCGTGGTGCTCAGGCTGGGGTATGAGCAGCTCGTAGCCTGGGCTACAGACTGCTTCCATCCAGCAGACTGCTTCTAAAATTCAAGTCTTATCAGCATCCCAGTTTGGCAGAGATTATCTTTTAGAGAAAGAGATCCAGAAAGAGAAGGCTAGAGCTGCCAAGACGAATTTCGTCACTTTGCCCCGTGCAAGCCCCTGGAGGGCTTGTGCTATACAACAGCCACCTATATATGCAACATCCACCCTCCTTTGGCTAAAAATGGGGCCAGGACATTAAGTCTTATGTAAAAAGGAATGTAGTATATAAGGGGTCAGGAAAAAAAAAAAAAACAACCAAAAAACAAATAGGGTGTGTAATCAGAGGGCATGGCCGTGAATTTTGTTTCGGCTACTGAAGCCACATGACTTTGGTGCTGTTATTTAGTTCATTCGTGCATTGATTTCTTCATCTATAAATTGAAGGTGATGATGATAATAATACCTCCTTCATGAAACTGAAAGTAAAGATTAAATAAATGAACACATACAGCACAGAGAGAGTACTTAACAACAGAGTCACATGGTTCGTGGATGTTAACTGCTGTTACTGGGCATTCTCAGGAACTTTGCAGCAAAAACAGAAGAATCAACATTACCTTGTCAGCAATGCAGAATCCAGGCCCCACCTGGGACCTGCTAAATCCAGGCTGCACTTTCTTACGGCACTGATGACTCATAGGCCCATGACAGTTTGAGGAATGCTGGCCTAGAACCTATCTCTACACTCTAAACTTGTCCCTTGAGGCCTTTTGGCTGGGTGGGGTTTCAGTGCACACTGGAGTCTCTGCTGGGAACCCCCATATGCCAGCACACTGCCCGGCAGTGGGTTGCCAGGCTGGTTATTTAATGAGTTTTATGATACATTAAATCTTCCAGACCTCACGGCAATTTGACCATTAAAGAAATAACTTTTTTTAAGGTAGCCCAAAACAAGCCAACTCAAGCGAGTAATGGGATTAGCGTGGTGATATTGAAATCAGAGCCGGACCACGTGAGTCGCTCTCCATCAATCACGGCTGCTGTCCTCGCGGCTGATTGTGGCACATTGTTTCATCAAATTAAACACCAAAGGGATGTTGTAAAGGCAGCATATGGTCCTCTTTCAAAAGTAGTTAGCCTGGCATTGCACAAGCAGCCTTGTCGCGGCTCCCCTGAAAACTTCCAAATCAATGTATTGAGGGTATTTGCTTTTGCAAAACAATGACTCATAAAAGTGGTTGCTTTTAATTGCAGGCTTGCCGCTGTCGGAAGCAAGGCCAGGATGTGAGCTGTGGAGGAGAGGAGATGGACTCGGGATGGGAAGAGAGGAATCAACTGTCATCCTTTCCTGTCCTCCCACCATGGTGGCAG